GCGATTTGGATACAAGCAAATTACCCGTCGCTAAAACATAGGAGCCACTCGGGGAGAAGAAGCAGAATTTTGCATTTTTAATCGTGTGACTACGTGAAAAGTATGTCTTAAGGTGTACTGAAAGTTAATTTATTTGAGTAAATGTTCTCCATTTTGTTTAGTCATTTTATCGATTGAAGTTTACATTTGTATTTTCTTCGTGGAACTCATTTTGTGTGCGAATAAGCGTATAGTTTTTTCAATTACATAAATTTCATGCATACATAAGTTACTGCTGGAATATAGTAACAGTATTTCACGTAATGTATTGCATTTAAGTAAGTTTATGCAGTATTCCATTCATAATTATTTTAATCAATGATGTCAATTCTATATATATTTTCCTATGGGGCTCGAGCCTTGTTGCTCGATAAATGTTAATATTACTACTCAAACGTTATAACGAACAGTTATATTACTGTTACTTTGTGTTTGCTTGCAGTGGCACTTTGTTATAAAAATATTCATTGACATATATATATATATATATATATATATATATATATATATATATATAAGTTTGTGAAAGATATTACATTAAATTGTTACAGATGCATGTTCTATAATTTATTTTTCTTTATAGTACAAATTATTTAATAATATATTTACTTTTCTTTATAGTGCAAATTATAGAACTTATTAACGTATGTTAATCAATGTATATTTATTTCAGACTAATATGTGATAGATATGTGTCAAATTTATTTTGTATTGAGTCAGTGAAAATCTTTCAATTTATTATTATAATAAGATGCTTAGATTAGATAAGATTATTATTATAAGATGCTTAGATTCTTAGAAACGAATATGAAATGAGTATGAATACATGCAATTTTTGTTCTAAAATAGTTTATTGCACTTACAGTAGAACCCGCTTATAATAATGTCTCTTACATATGTTTTCCCGCTATAACGTTTTGATTCCCTATCACGAAGCAATACCTACAAAATGAAATATATCCCGCATTTAACGTCGTCTCGCGTATAACGTTGCAGTTTTCCGATCTAGAGCTTGTACATTATAAACGGGTTTCACTGTATTTACAAATTTAAAAGAAAAGGAAATAAAGAAATATGATTAAAGAAATGTGTAATATTATTCCTATATGCCTCCCGTACAGGGAATATATCCCCCTGTGCTTTGCGTTATCCGAATGTTTAACGAAAGCTCGCCAAACGTTATATCGCAATCATTCTCTGAACATTCTTCGAACACTACTTAGACGCGAACTTCTAACACTCAGATAACAGTTATTCAGGTAATGGTTGTAACATTCAGCGAACACTCGGAGAACATCAATTCTGATACCGGTTTCCAAAAAGATCGGTAACGAAAAATTATACACTTTATGGTATTCCCCGGGAAATTCTACCCCTGTTTTATATAAAATTCTTTAAGATTTGGTCAATTATTTCCCGAAAAATTAGAAAAATTGAAAAAACCGGTTTCCAAAAAATCGGCAACAAAAAACTATACACATAGTGGCATTCCCCGGAAAATTCTACCCCTATTTCATATATTTTTGGTAAAAATTCGGTTCACAGGGGTTTGGGCTGGGTGTTGATGAGTGAGTGAGTCAGTCAGGACATTTGTCTTTATATATATAAATATATATAACTATTACAATTGCCATT